TTGTCCTTAAAATATACTATATCAAGATCCTGCCTACAAGTAGATCAGGATATCTGTGAAGTGATTCATAATCAGTTCATTGTTGATCATCAAATTGCAAATGTCTGAGTCAAGTAAACAATTATTAATAAAGTAGAGCTATAGCTTGAAATTTGTCCTTGTAATATATTATATCATGATCCTGCCTACAAGTAGATCAGGATATCTGTGAAGTGATTCAATCAGTTCATTGTTGATCATCAAATTGCAAATGTCTGAATCAAGTAAACAAGGATTATTTATAAAGTCCTTGGTGCCGACAGAAGCAACATAGAATGTTCGTTATAGAGGAGAGGTTGGTGTTGATGATTCTGATAGTATTGGATAAGAGCATTTTTTGGTGTCATTGCATCTTAGATTATTTGTTTCCATGAACCTATTTGAACTGGCAGAATTTGTTATTTTTATGATTATCTCTTGCATGATTTTATTATAAACACAGCTATTAGCTTCATTTGGCATTTATTGGTTACAGAGACAATTTACAACTGCTAAGGCAGCGGTATTATTATGCTACATGGAAAGCTGATGGCACAAGATATATGCTGCTCCTTTGTCCTGATGGGGCTTACCTAGTTGATAGAAGCTTTAAATTTCGGAGGGTCCAGATGCGTTTTCCATGTAAAAACATGACAGATGTATGTGGAGAAGATCTAATAAATTTGTTTTACTTTTATACCTGAGTAATTGAGCTTATATGGTCTCTATATATTTTACTATTATTATGTTGGCTGATGCTTGTTTTTCTTGATTTATTTGAGTCTCAGCTTCACCAGTATACTTTGCTTGATGGAGAAATGGTTATTGATACTATAAATCCCCAGAGGCAAGAGAGGACCTGATCTATGATTTGATTGCTATTAATCGTGTGTCCTTGCTGAGGTTGGGTATTCAGCTTTTACTAGTTTGCTAAATTTCACCGTCTTTTTGATGTTGATTATCTTATTCTTTGAGTGTTACTCATTAAGATGATTCTTTTTATTGTGAAAGAATAAGTTTTAATCTGTACAGATAAAACGGCATGGAGGTACTTTGTTCATGTGTTGTTGAGTGCCTCAATATATGAATGTAGCATTGAACTTGCATTATTGTTTGGAAAATATAAGAATTTGGATTTTTATTCACTTGATGTAATAAGTGAGCAGATGAGAGGGGAATTGCAATGTTGGTCTTGTTTTATCTGGTAACTGGATATAGAATGTGATTACATTCACTTTGAATGAGGTTTCATCACTATATTACTGGTTGCTATACGTCAATATGTGAGGGAAGGGTGCTTTAGGGAGTAGTATAATATAATTCCTCCATTTTGTTTAGTTGACACTTTTTTTTTCTTTTTTTCTTCCCTACTTTTTCCAAAGCACTATTTCAATGATTAATATCTCTAAATATATAAGTAAAAATTCCACTCTTTTAAACTCTCCTGAATTTTATTTGTATATTTTCTATCATCCACTTTACACACTTTTTCCAACTTTTATTCAATTTATTATTTTGCGATGATTTTTCCTTTTCGGACGGTTCCTTATGATTCATGTTAGCCAACCCTAAATCATTTTGGAATTAAGGCTTTGTTTTTGTTGTGTCAAAATTTAAAATTATAAAAAGTTGATATTATGAAAATATACTTTGATATGGTTCTAACAATACCCCACATGATTTATATCCCTCTTCCTAACCTGTCCTATTTATATAGTTATCTACAAAACTATCTAGCTAATTTACTCCTACTGATAGTTTGGATATAAAAAAAAATAGATTTGCTTTAAAATTTGAATTACTTTCCACTGTATATGCTTACTATGGCTTACAACTATCAGCCACTTCAGATGAAATTGGAATGCATTAATAAACTAATAACCAGCTTTTTTCATCCCATTGATGAAAAAGCTACAGTTTAAACATGGCCCATCAATGATCTGCATCAGGTTCTCCTTAGCCCTTCCCCATAGGACCATGACCATGACCATGACTTGACCCTCCTGCTAACAATTTTGAGTGTTTGCAATCCTGCTGCCCCAAACAGCCCAATAGCCCATCTACCAGGTCAATTCTACATGCGATTCACATTGGTATTTAGCCATGCTAATCAGTAATGCATGGAGTTATATCCATTAGGTGTTCAGTGTAATAACATTTTGAAGTTTGTTGAGATCTAAACCTTTGTACAGCAGAGATAAAAGATCTATTTATCTAACTTTATAATTCTGACTATATATGGCTCACAAGGTTCTCATTATTGTGTACCTTGCAGAGGCCTTTTTATGAGCGTTGGAAACTGATTGAGAAAGAGGTTGTTGAGCCACGTAATCAAAGAGCGGGGAATATGGACAAATGGCAAACCACTTTACAGATATGATCTAGAACCATTCAGGGTATGTACAATTGACATTCTAGACGCTATCAGGAAACACAGTATGTTTAATACTGTATTTGGCTCCTCTTATGCCTGTTCATAATGATACTATTCCAAATGTTTCAGGTTAGAAGGAAGGACTTTTGGTTGCTATCAACAGTTGGGAAGCTTTTGAAGGAATTTATCCCTAACCTTTCACATGAAGCTGATGGTCTTGTTTTTCAGGTACTCTGATTGATTTTACAGTGTATACATATACCCATTTTTTTGTTTAAGAGCGTATGGGCTGACATAAATGATTTTAGCTTCCTTAGGGTATCACTTTTCCTATAAATTTTTTTTTCCCATTTGGTTCAAAGAGTATAGAACTCATGTCCTCAATCTATGAAGCAATTTATTTTCTATATCAAGATAAGTCAATTACTTATGAGAACCTGAGTATTTGATCGAGCACAAGTGCACAACCGCATCACATTTGCAATGTCAAGGTTTCTGATCTTTCTGCAATTGTGGACGTGTGGTATTAGGCCATGATAGCTGTAAATCATTTGATTTAACAGCAAAAGTGCTTTATTACCATTTTGCAATTGTATCCGGCATATAAAATCTTTGTGCAGAAACTAGCTTGTAGTTGCAGCTTTAGAATAGCTTCAATAAAGACACCATAAAAACTGGAGCTTCTTTTATAGAATGAACTGCTAATGAAACCATCTTTCACACTTAGGTAACCTGTCCTTTTTGTCCTTGTTTGTAGCTGTCTGGTGTGAATTAAGGTTGCACCTAACTCTTCGAAAGAGGGGTAATGATCAGTTTCAGAGAGAAAAGTCCATATCAAGAAGTATCTAAATGTGTAACGTGATTCAGAGATTATTCTCCTTGTGACATCAACTATATTGGCTTGCATGAAAAAATCCATCTTATTGCTCCTATTTCCTGATTAATAGACCTACTTTTCAATTATTAACCTTAAATCTGAAGATGCATTTCTTTCTCTAAAGCAAAGGTCAATGTATGCTTCAGTGATGTATCAATTGTTGATTTATTCCAGTTCGGCTGTGGGTTTTTTTTTTTTTTTTTTTTTTTTTTTTTTTTTTTTATAGAGAGAGGGGGGGGGGGGGGGGAGGGGTTTCGAGGTATATCACTTGTGAAGTGGGAAATTGGAGGTGGTTGCATTCTCATTCCACTGTTTATAATAAGCTCATGTCTGTATTGTGGCCATGGCTAAGCCTTAAAATTATTAAAGAAAATATGGCTCTTGTATTTTGCGGCTGGGTTTGTTTCTTTTGAACTATTGGAGCTAGTAACTTGTGCATTTCAATTGTGCATGCTCTAATTTTTGGCCTTTGACAGTGGATTTTAATTATGAGGTTTGTGGTAGATTCAAAAGGGATTTATCTGTCATTCTGATCCTAGGATAGAGTGGGCTGCTTAATGTATGGTTTGGTTCATTTTTCTTTTTGTGAACTTCAATGCTAAAGTTCTCTTTTATTAAAAATAAATATTTATAATTTCAAAATATTATTATTAATGCTTTGAGATTGCTGTTTTTTCTTTTAGCCTCACTATCTTCTACAGTTCTACGCATATGTATGGGAGCTATTTCAGTATTTGTCATTTTTTGTTTTTCTGATGACTCCTCTCCCTAAAAATCCTGAAATGATAATTATGCATCTGTTCTTCTAATAATCAGGGGTGGGATGATCCCTACGTTCCCAAGACGCATCAAGGCCTCTTAAAGTGGAAATATCCTGAAATGAACTCAGTTGATTTTCTCTTTGAGGTAATGTCTCGAGCCTTTTACCTTTGTTTTATAAAGGAAACAATAGTATATGTGGCAATATGTGTGCATGAAATCTCTCTTGGAACACATTCAATCAAAATATTTTACTTGTTAAATGCAGGAATTTCAGGTGATCCGTCTATTCAACACTGAGTAAAATATTATTTTACTCCGAGTTGAACAAAGGCGCATTTGAATTCCCAGTTTCTTTAACGGATATGCTAATGATCGAAAGTTTCTTGATAACTTTTGTTGGCAGATAGGAGAAGACGGCACTGAAAACCTTTATCTTTACGATCGAGGAAAAAAGCGATTGATGGACAATAACAGGGTTACATTTGGAGGTATATATATTCATCTAACAAAGCTTTTTATTTATGCAAATTTTCAATTTTTTTTTTTAATCTGTGAAGTATTAAAAATTCCTTTGTTCCCCCCCCCCCAATGTTTGCACAGTGGTATTTAGCTGACTCTTTTCACCATATTTTTTTTGTTTGCAAATAACCAAACTACTTTATAGTTGCAGCTGAATATGTGAATGAAGTATGTTTAGATTGATTCTGGTGCTTCTGGTTTATGTTGTTTTTAAATTATTTTTCCACCTTGACTTGTTGGATTCTATTTCCATGAAATGAAACATAGTAGCCTTTGTTTTGGTGCTATTACTTGGACTAGTTAAGCAGTATATGGAGCCTATGTTTGTGGTTGAATGCAATTTTAGAAAATTTTGAATTTGTACTTGTTCGTGCTTCAGTTTGTGGTTGAATGCAATTTTAGAAAATTTTGAATTTGTACTTGTTACGATGCTTGGGTATTTTAGAAACTAGTCCTTGTAAAGCAGTCGCGGGAAGAAGAGGCAGGAATCAACTAGGAAATTTGGAAGTGGGAACCCTTAACCATTGCTGGGATGCACTGTGTGAAAGTCAATTTAAACGAGTGGATTAAGAGAGTTCGTGCTGTATTTGTAATCAAATGTATGAAAAGAGGTTCTTATTATAGCTAGAAATCTAGAATGCAGTTCTAAGTAATGTAATGTGCTGGGTAATTAGAAAGCAAAGAAATTTTTAGTTCTAGAAACATGGAGATTTGGAGGGGAAAACAATGAAGAATGTTGTTGGGTGAATTATTTAGTTATTTGAGGAGAGAATGAACCCTCAATCTTGAATGTTTTACATTGTTTGTAATTCCAGATTTTAAATTACTTTCTTCCTAAATTTCTGGTCCGGTTTTGCTAGTTTATAACATAAATTTGATGAGGATGCAAGTTTCAAAATATAGGGGCACTAGGCTGTGCTTTTGACTGTTGGTATATAATCTCCCCATGTTTTTGGTTCCGTTGGGGATGGAGAGAATAAGATACCTAGACAAGTACTTCCTCCGTTTTATTTACTTGCAACAAACCACTTTGCCACACACTGTGGAATAATTTTATCACCGATAAGAAGGAAGTGTAAAGTTGTTGCGGTTTAAATTTTATAGGTTAATCTGTCTGTTTCAGCTCCTCAAATAGCGTGCCAAGTGTGTTGCAAGTAAAAAAAAAAACAGAGGAAGTGTTATACTTTAGTTTTTGCTTAAATAGCTTTATATAAGTAGGTAAAATTTGGACATCAAAATGTTTCAATATCATGGGCTAGAGTTTTATGACATTTATTTGAATTAAGTATTTACAAAACATATATGTGGACTGTATGCGACCAATAGAGTTGGAAAGACATTCATCAACTTGAAATAATATCTTAAACTTTAAAACTAAATTTTTTGGCAAAAACATTTTATTTGTGTAATTGATTTCTCCGACAATCTGATCCTCTGAGCTTTTGGTGACACAACATCCTTTCAGTTGCATTTACCTCTCGTGTCTCGTCACACCTTTATATAGATTTGTTATTTGGTGGTCTCGGTAGTTAATAAGGTGCTGATGTGACTTTCAGTTCATCTTCTTCCATACGCTTTTGCAGACTCTTAATGTTAGTCAAATTTGATTACATGCAGATGATGTGGATCCCTCTACCTACTCTGGTAAGATTGTCGAATGCTCGTTTGATTCCGAGGAAAACATCTGGGTTTGCATGCGAGTCAGGATTGATAAGAACACTCCAAATGAATTCAAACACCTACAGGAAGGTCCAGCACAAATGTTAAACTTAATTATGTCATTTCGTGGGGTAATTCTTTGTACTTTTCCAACTCAATGCGGTAATAGTAATGCCTTTTTACTGCATTTCGCAGGTTATGAAAAGTATAAAGGACAATATAACTGAGGAGGTGCTGTTAAACGAGATAGGAGAGATCATTCGCTTACCTATGTATGCTGATAGGATTCAAAGTGATAGCAGAGCCATGAAGAAAGGGAAGCCGCCACCACAGAGAAGTGTGAATTGGAAATTTGTGTTGCCAGCAATGGTTATTTAATTTGGATGACCTCGCAGCAATTGTTTGTGTAATTAGGCATATTGGTAGCTTGTATTTTATTATACATAATTGTTAGTTGAGGGATTGAATCTTCGTAGGTAGTTAGAAGATGTAGTCCTTAAAAAATTAGATGTAGTAATAGGTTATTTGTGTATATTGTCATCATAAGCTCTCTTATCTTCTCTCTCCGTGTTCCGCGACTCCTGTCTAAATAACGTCTTTCTTTTATTTTTAATCACTTTTTTTCGCCCTTTTTGGATAAGGGGAGTTTTGAGAGAGAGAGAAGAGACCATTTGGTCTGTTGCTAGTACCATCTATTTTAACTTGAAGGGTTCGCCCTTGTAGCTAAACTAGTCCTGATGTCATATACCTAACTAGGTTCCATATTTTATTTAGGTTGCTATGCCTTAAGAAAGGTGTAATGTTTGCCTTTTTAAAAGGAGAAAAATAAAAACGAAAGGCTTAATGTTATTCTGTATTTGTGTTCCCCTATATTGAGGTTTATTTAGAGTATACAATTTATGATTTTTTGATTCTTTTTTAAAGAAGAAATTAATATTAGTTGAGAGATCAATGGAAAAGTAGGATTAACTCAGCTCCCAACTATCTTACTCACCTGCTAATAAGTCTGAAACAGAACGTAGCGGTGGCTTGCTGGTGGCCTTCTCTGTTCCTTTGGTTGCCGGTGAGTTGCCTTTGGCTTTTAGGAGCAGCTGGTCCCAAAATGTGTAATTTTATGAGATTTCAGCATTTTCTAAGAAAATAACCTGATGGTATGTGATGATTTGCTTAATGTTTAATCTTTGTATTTCGTTTAGGTTTAGCTGTCAATGTATGTCTCATTTTAGTCATTAGTGTCCATTATTTCTAGTTTGCTATTGAAGTGGCTCGTTTGGACCGTATAAGGATTATGAAAACTCAAGGTTTTGTAGAGGCTAACTCTTAAATATGAGAGCTCGTAAATGAGAACACCCAAGCAATGATGCACAAACACGTGCAGTTGCACCATCTCTAAATCCACCAAATAGCGATTCCAACTTCGATTAGTTGGATTTTTCTGGAATCCATAGATAGCCTCTAAGTTTGTTAGCGTCCACTGGGTGTAATCCTCTTTAAGGAAGTTCGAGTTATTAATAGCATCTCTTAACAATCTTGAAGGATCGCCCACAATTAGCATTATTGAGCTTACGATTTAAACAAATAGAGGTTTTTTTTTTTTTTTTTTTTTTTTTTTTTTTTCTTCGCTATTAAAACGCAGCAGTGAGGCACAACTCTAAAATACGGAGAACTTACTAAAAAAATCTAACACCATTTACCAATTTTTCCTCTTAAAAGATATTCTTATGGGCTCGATTTTTTTTTTAAACATTATTAAATAAAATGGACTACTCCCTCCGTCCCCAAAACTTCGACCCTTTTGGGATGATTTCGCGGTTATTAAGAAACTTAAATAAAAAGAAAATAAAACATATTGGAAAGATAAATTTACATTGGGTTTGTAAAAAAGTAGAAAGATAAAGTATTAAAAATACATGAAAAAACAAATTTTATATGAGAGCTAATTTTGCACAAATATTGTTGTAAATTGGTGGGTATTTTAATGCAAATGGGTCGATCATTTTAGGACTAAAATTAGGCCAAAAGGGTCGAAATTTTGGGAACGGGGGGAGTACGTATTTAATTAAATAAAATTTTCATACTCCCTCCGTCCCCGAAAAAACGACCCATTTGGCCTAATTTTAGTCCCAAAAAGAATTACCAATTAGTATTAAATACCCCAAACCTGTCTCCCTCTTCTCTCTTTTCTCTCTTCTCTCTTCTCTCTTTCTCTCTTCTCTCTCTTCTCTTTAGGGTTTTAATTTTCTTGGTCGTTCAGGCCGGAAATAGTCTAATTTCTTCGGAAATTAGACTATTTCCGACCCTTTTCTTCAATTTAATTTGCTTTTTTGTTATTTGATTTGTTTTGCTTTGTTTTTACTCTCCGTTTGTGAGAGTCTGTCCCAATTTTTTTTGGGGTTTTCCCAATTTTTTGGGATTTTGATTCTCGTCTATGGATGAGAATTTTATTTTTAGGGTTTTAATAATAATTGAGAAGGTGATTTGGATTCATATGGGTTTAGGGTTCGTCATCAACTCTACGATCAAAACATTAGCGCAGATTGCGAAGGTCTCTACTTGGAAAGATGCAAAGACATCGAAAATCACTACTCGCGCGTCAAGTTTGAAGCGGTGGAGTGTGAGCTATGCCCGATATGCAAATTAGTTATGATTTTGATTGTAAAAGTCATGTTATTTTCTCTAGATTTGTGGTTTACAAATCTTTATTATTGTTGTAGATGTCGTATGGTTATTTATTAATGATAATATTCTTCTTAAAAAAAAAGCATTAAAATATTCACCAATTTGCAATAATATTTGTGCAAAATTAGCTTCCCCATTTAAAATTTTGTTTTCCCATGTACTTTTATTATCTCTCTCTATTTTTTTGTAAACCCATATAAATTTATCTTTCTAATGTACTTTTACTTTTTTTTATTTAACTTTATCAATACCTGCAAAATCAACCCAAAATGGTCGTTCTTTCGGGGACGGAGTATATCATAATTTCATACTACAGCCATAATGTACTCTAATGTCTTATTTTCTTCGAAACATTGAAATCTTGATGAATTTGTCAGGGATTTTAATTTTCAAATAAATATTTTAGAATTTTTTGTAATATGTACTGAAATTATATAACCTCCATTTCATATTTGTTAACCATTAAGCAAGTTTGCCAACAAATACTTTTAAATGTAAATATCTTAAATTTTGTATTAGCAAAATAATAAAAATTTGATATTTATTTAAATTTCATGTTGATATCCTGTATTAACATCTTTTGTTAATATAGGCGTATACTCGTCATTTTGCCTGCTCATGTTGGGGCTAATATTGTAAAGTCATGTGGGACCAATTTACATGTTGAGACAAATCGCCCCACATAACTATATACTCCCTTCGTGTTTTAATAAGTATTACATTTTGACCAAACACGCATGTCGAGACAGGACTTTGACCATTAATTTATCTAACCATATGTTAATAAAATTATAAGAAAACTAATATTATGAAATTATTCGTTATAACGAATCTAACAATGTATTATACAATAACATTGGTTTTTTTATATATTAGTAAAATTAATCAAGTCAAACTCATTATGTGAATAGTGAAAAAAAAGTCAAAATATAACACTTATTAAAACACGGAGTATATTTTTGCACTAAATCATACATAGAGTCAAAATAAGTTAAGTGAATAGTGCACAAAGTCAAAATTGTGTCAATAGAAAAGGAACAGAGGAAGTAATAGTTACAATATTGCATTGAAAAGTGTGCAAAAAATAGAACAAACATTAAAAATAGACCGAGTTTGTGTTAAAATAAGACATTTAGCCAAAAAAGTTTTATTCTAAAAATCAATCAACTAACCGAGGCATGGTTTGAGCATAAAACTAGTTTAATATTAAATTACTAATAATCAAATAAAGGTAAAAATTGTTATAAACTATTTTTTTGTCCAACCGTTTTTAAAAAAATCACCTTTTATGTTTTTTATTTATTTATTTATTTTTTGACAGCCGATAAAAAGGTATTAGACCCCATTAAGCTTACAGTTATGCTTACAGTTATTAATACTAAAACAATGAAAATTTGGAAGCAGATTTTTAATTCTGTGAA